AGGGGTAGAATATGCATTCTGCGTGGCGTAGACGACAAAGACATTGGTATAAATAGCATTCTGCGACTAGTAGTACTGAAGCAAAATGGTGAAACGTGCAATCTGCGATATGTAGAACTTGTGCAATTAGTAGAATACTTATTTCTACCACTCGTAGAATGATACAAATTCGCAGAATGCCTAATCTACTAGTAGATTCGACCATGGTAAAAGGAAGAATAAATAATTTTTTGTGGTAAAATTTTTTTGAAAAAAATATAAACATGAATCTATATGTTTTGTACATTACTATTTTCTATTTTCTGATTTTATAAAATTATAAAAACCATTTTTTTGTATTTTCCAATATTAATCAAAAGGTAATATAGGAAAAGTTGGTACAAAAAAAGCAATGATTATTTTGCAAAACACTAATTCAATGCAAGTCAATTTAGCAAAATTCTCTTATTTGGCACTTATTGAATTGAATTTTGATACTTGATTTGGAGCTTAGTCATTAAGGAAATCGGATTAATAGGACACGTAAGTAAGTAAACATTGAAATAATGTCAAGTTAACGAGAAAAGTTTAGTCATTAAGAATTGAAATTTGAAACAATATGTCATTCAGATTTCAGAATATTGGTGTTATCAAATATTTGATGAGATCCGGTAAAATATATAGTTTATAATATCTACAACTGGAAGCGATTCTAATGTGTTTTATAATAACTGAATCAGTCAATGATAATTTAAAATTTTCATATAATATCTTTTGCCCCATTTACAAAAGTCATAAATGAAAAAAGTATATTTTAGTCAAAGTTTTATTCTTAGAAATTTCAGATCTGAAAAGGATAGTTTCCAAATTCCAAATTGATTTTCTTTCCTATCGTTTTACCGGCCAATGTCAGAACACAAACCCCACTATTTTGTAAATATAGAAAGGCAAAAAGAGCACCGACTGAGACTGACTCAAAAAGCTACTTGCTCCACCGGTCAGTGGTCACGACTAGCCGTGATTTGCGCCTACTCGTGTGCTGTGGCCAAAGAGGATTTTAGTTTCAATTTTTATGATTAGGCTCATTTATATGTATATAAAAAAATAATGCAACTTGAACACGTTCGTGCAACTCAAAGAAATCGACAATAACAACAAAATTAATTAAAATAATTAGTTGTTCTCCCTCAATATTTTCCCAAATCTATTTTACAAGCCGACGAAACACATTAATTAATTTACTTGTTAACAAACCCATAAAATACTAGGAAAAACAAACTTGATAAGCTCGAAAAACGCTCCATGGCACTCTTCCCGAGGAAGGGCAATGAGCTTCACCCTCCGTCGAGTTTCCGGCGAGCTCCCCTAACCTTCTCCGGCAACAACGTGCGCGTGAGGGGTTCCTGATGTTGGTCTCCCCGCTCCACTCCACTGCGATGACAACTCAAGTTCTGCTTAGCCCTGCTCGACGTCTGTGGAACACGCCCGGTGCCGGTGAACCGCTTGGTACTGCCGGAGCCACCAGACCCACCGGATGTTGCGCGTGAGTACACAAAGCCTCTCTTGCTTTTGTGTCTTCAATGTTTCTTCTTACTTACCGTTCCATCGCCTCCACCTCTTCCCATGTCGGAACCTCTGTCGTCGGCAAGAGTCTCACCATCATCCAGATCCGAAGCCGACTACCCCGCTGTGGTCGCACTCGCCGCCAATCTCCCTCGCACCGTTCGTGGGTCTTGTTCTGAGGTGGAGATCGACATGGCGCTGACCGTCGGCTTCCTGTCATCCCCTCCAACGAAGCTTCATGACTTAGGCTATTCGCCGCCGCCGTCCCTCCCTCGGCTCCACAACTGCTCGAGATGCCTCCTTCCCCTCCTCACTGTTCAAAGTTTCTGCTCTGGGGTGGAGATCGACACGACTACGACCGCCGGTTTCTGACCCTCCCCTCCGACGGAGCTCCATGATTCAAGCCTTTCGCCGCCGCCATCCCTCCCCCGGTTCGAGATGTCTCCTTCCCGTCCTAACCCTAAAAATCTTATGGGCTGGAAGAGTTCTTTTCCACTATCTTCCATCTCGTTGAGCATGGTCGTACCTTCTTCCCTCTCATGGAGAGTGGTCGAACCCCTGTGCTTTATGGTGGGAACTTCAAAGTCACATGGTAAAGTGACTAACCTGAGAATCTCCGGCTTTGCCGCGAAGACCCTTTTGACGCATCCGAAGCATGCTTTGGATTCGTTGTCCATCTTTTGCGATACTCTATCTACTTTATGCTTTATTGCTTCTCAATTATGTTGTATTAATTATGGAGGACGTTTAATTCCCTCCCGTTGTAGTTGGAACGATTAAATGAATGAAGTAACTTGTTGATAAAAAAAAAAACAAACTTGATAAAAAATCTCCATACAAAAATTTACTCTGAAGCGGTGATTTTTGCAACCAATGAATGAGTTTTGGCTAAAAAAAATATCACACAAGTAATAGATCAGATATCAAAGAATCATCAAGATCGTTGAACATTAAACCAATGTCTTTGATATCGGAGGAGTAGTTCACCTCAGTGTTGTTGCCACTAGTATCAAATAGCATAAGATCACTGAAGAAATCATTGTCGAATGATTGAATAGGAGACATGGGTTGATCGAAGATGGAGTCCGGTAACGATTCATTGAAGTAATTGTCGAGAAATGGAGTGTCCAACGGAAATGAATCGTTGTCATTGTTGTTACTTTGTCCAAGGTGCCAGCTTATTGGTTCCGGTTGAGCAAATTCTTGTTTAACCGATTTGACCGGTTCATGGATTGGCTCGGACTGGGAGACATGTGTTTGGTAGTTGAGAACCGATGTAGGAGATGATAGATGATGAGAGTCGTCGAACATTAATTCTGATGTCGAAACCGATATGTTGCTCTCCGGTTCCTGTTCTGGCTCTCGAGGTACAGAGAAGTTGGTGAGAGCATCAGGACCACGGAGTCTGATCGCTGCGTTGTCGTAAACGACGGCAGCTTCCTCCGCCGTTGAAAAAGTACCGAGCCAGATTCTCCGGCGTTGCTCCGGATCACGAATCTCCGCCGCCCATTTCCCCCACGGTCGTTGTCTTACGCCACGGAACTTCCTCTGGTTCTGGACCGTACCGGAAGCAGAGACCACTTTTTGAACCGAAGAATCATCAACAGCGAGTCTTTTCGTCGGAGAAGAGACGTTGCCGGAGCAAGGCTCGACTCTGATCTCGTGAATCAATCTCTTGACCCTTCTTCGAGGGAGCAGAAAGTCTTCCTCGTCGTCGCTTGATGAATCAGTTGCGTCACGATCCGTCATACACACACGAACCAGCCTCGCCGAACTGATCGTGTTCTTCTTCTTCTCCAAAGACAGCTTTTTAGTGTACATCTTGGTCACTGTCTTGTGCACCGTGTACTTCACTGGTATAATATCCGTATATTCATCCATCATCATCAACAAGATTCACCTGTTTCGAGAGAAAAAAACAGAGATTGTTGCTGAAAAAGATTGAGAGAGAGAGAGAGGAATGTAACAAAAGAAAGAAAAGTCTGCAAAGTTTAAAGTGAAGATATATTGAGAAATTCACTCTTAAAATCCTTTTTTATAGGATCTTTCGGGGGTTTTAGCCATAATTGGCAAATATAGTAAATAGGGAAAACAAAATATTAGCT